TGGGTATGAGTAAGTCTGTGTATGAGTAAGTCTGGGTATGAGGAGGGTGAGGAGGAGGAGGAGAAGAGGAGGAATGAGTAGGAGGCGTCCAAGTAATAACAAGAACCCCATCTTAGGATATGGGGAAACTAATCAGCACACAGTCGGGGCACGATGTTGTGGTTACTGTTTTACGCTATTTTGGGGCAGTGTTTGGGTGTATTTAAGTTTTTCGTCCACGATCCGCCTGTAGGGGGACAGGCCCGACCGACTCCTGAGGATAGGAATCGGGTTGACCCAAAAGGGGGTCCATGCGCGAGGGGTCTGCCTCTACGACTCCCGAGGAGGAGGAGGAGGAGGAGGAGGAGGAGGAAGAGAAGGAGGAGGAGGAGGAGGGGAGGAGGAGGAGGAGGAGGATAGTGGCCCGCAGCTATTTGTGCTCACATGAACGATTGCTCAATGTGTTTCAGCGGCCTACGCCTTCGGGGCCCCACAGGTGGCTGCCCAGCCAGGGGTGCCATGTTTTTATGTTCCTCCAGTTGGCTTAGGTGCTGACGCAGTCCTTGTGCACTATAAAGCACATTCAGTTTCGAGCACCTTACATCTTGGCCGCGATGGGAAACATTTCAAAGGCCCATCAGATGTTTCTTCTCTCGGCCATGGGACCGCCAGATAATCGCCAGTGACGGAAAACCAGTTGCGGGGATCGTGTTCAGAGTTCTGGGTGTCCACGGATAGGAAGACATGAGATCGTCGGAGCTCTGGCGAGGAGGGGACAGAGTACACCCAGCACGCATGTCTGCCACTTCATGCAGCGCATGACTGCGAATCTGCAGTCGCAGGATTGGCTGTAGACATGTGTGCAAGGATGCATGTGTTTATGTATGCCGGTATTTGCCGCCGAGGCTCGAATCTAGAAGTCTTTCCGCGCGGCCTTGAGTCAGACAGGGAAGGAACTGCGCAATCACAGCTTGGGACCTCTTGGGTATAATCGTGCTGCAATGAACCTTCCCACCGAGAGTCCCCGCCTCACAGTCAGCACAGGCACCCTCCTGCACACTACGACGGCTACGGGCGATGGTGTGGCAGTAGCTCTGCCACGGTGCATCCGAGGATCAGGTTGGTTCTGGGGACAATCGGGGAGAAGGTGCCGTATTAGCCCAGCGCGCATCACTGGTTTTGCAGAGCGCCTTTTTGTCGTGAGCCCCCGCCTCCTAGCCATGTCCGGTATTCGTTGTTTTTCTCTCCATCTCTCTCTCCCTCTATGTTTTTCTCTTTTCTTCTCCTTCTCTCTCTGTCTCTTTCTCACGCTTCGAAAGGTTCCCGTTGGAAGGGTGGAGGCACCCTGTTCTTGACACAGGAAGTTGTTGTTGATGATGATGTTGATGATGCTGATGTTGATGATGATGATGATGATGATGATGATGATGATGATGATGATGATGATGATGCAGATGCAGATGCAGATGCAGATGCAGATGCTGCTGCTGCTGCTGATGATGATGATGATGATGATGATGGTGGTGGTGGTGGTGGGTGGTGGTCATGGTGGTGGTGATGATGATGATGGCTGATGTTGAAGATGATGGTGGTGGTGATGCTGATGATGATGGTGATGATGCTGCTGATGATGATGATGATGATGAGGAGGAGGAGGAGGAGGAGGAGGAGGAGGAGGAGGGGGAGGAACGAGGCGGAGGATGAGGAGGAACGCGGAGGGGAAATATAAGCGATGAGAAACGATGAGGGGGAGGAGGATAATTGAGAAGCGAGAAGGGAGAGTGAGGATGAATAGGGAGAGGGGCCAGGAGGATGACAACTGGGGAGGGAGGGCGCACGGCACGTTTCCTCCTCGCTCTCATCCTCTCTCTCCATCTCGAGAGGACCTCGGGCCGTGTTGGCGCCCAGGCCAGCAGAAGCCTCTTCGTCCCCCCCCCCCCCTTCATCAGGGAGGGGAAAAGACGCACAGACACAATGAATCGTCGATTCCTGGGAAAATATGGGAACAGATTGGAAGGGGGGCGAAGACGAAACTCCCTGGGATGTGTGTGTGTGTGTATTTATTAGTGTGTCCCCGGGCCCCTGCACTTCCTCACGGGCGGACGACGCATCCGTATCCGCGGCCTCACGGGCCGGGCCTTCGGGCTGCCACCCCGCGGCTACGGGGCTTTTTTGTTCGCGGCAGGGTCCCGCGCGGAGCGTCTCCGTGAAACCGCGCATCCGCGGGATCGGGCCCTGGATAGGGGAACGAAAAATGACATACACATACTAACTCGGAGGTCTGCGCGGACCTCCGAGTTTTTATGTTCATGTCATTCTCCGTTCCCGTACTGGAGTCCAGACCGCGAGGGCGCGGATGCGGACAGGTCCGCCGCCTGCGACCCCCCCCAAGTGCGGATATGGCCTGCCGGGGAGGGCCGCGCGCGCCGCTTTTCGGCTCCAGTCTCTGCTCCACATGGTTGGACCCCGGCGGCGGACGACCGCGCCGCGCCCACGCTTCACCAAATGCTCTGCCCCCGCG